CTCCTCCCACAACTTTCCCCTATCCACCTTATCAAAAGCCGCCTTCAAATCTATAAACAGGGCGTACAATTTCCCTCCCTTCTTATCCAGCTCTCTATCTGCCAGATGCTTCAACACGTACACGTTGTCGATTGCTCCCCTTCCCTTCCGAAAGCCTGCCTGCCCATCCGGCAAAATTCCCCCCAACTCCATCTCCTCCTCCAATCTTCCCAGCAGTATCTTCGTGTATACCTTGTATGCCGAGTCTAGTAGGTTAATTCCCCTGTAGCTCTCTACACTTCCCTTATTACCCTTTTTATATACTGGGCAAATTACCCCCACTTTCCATCCCTCCGGAATCCCACCCCCTCTCCATACGATATTCATCCCCTCCAACAACTTCACTCGCACCACCCTTGATGCTTCCAACCATGCTTCGTTATGTATCCCATCTTCACCTGGCGCCTTTCCCTTCTTCAATCTCCTAAGCACCGCCTCCATCTCCTCTTCTGCTATCTCCTCTCCCCCATCTCCCTCATATCCTCCCAACCCCGTTAGCCTCGTTTCAACCCCTCCCAATAATCCCATAAAGTAACTCTTCCATTCTGTCATGTGTATTTCGCTGGTTATCGTCTCCCTACCCTTCTTTCCTTTTTTCAGATACCTCCAGACCTCCCCTTCCCTTGTTATCCCCCTAATCTCTGCCGCCTCCTTCTCCCTCAATTCTGTTTTCTTTCTACTGCATAACTCTCTGTATTCTCTCCTGGCTTCCCTATATCTATCCACCCCTATCTTCCCCCGTCTCCACAGCCTCAACCTCCTTCTCGCCTCCCTCTTCGCCTTCTTGCACTCGCCATCATACCAGTCGTTCTTCCCCACTTTGTCCCCCCTACGTACACACTCCCTTTTCAGTGTTGCCTCCCGCACTACCTGGGTAAGCTCTTCCAACCAGTTGATCTCTTGTATCCTCTGTTGCCAAGTGTCGAGGTTTCCCCTGTAGAATGCTACCCCTTCTTCCGCCTTCTGCCGCCCACCCCCTTTACCTCCACCTCCAACGGTTAGTGATCCGACTCTACCGCTTTCCCACTTTAAACCTTTCCACCCTCTCCCACATTTCCTGATCCACCAATACATAATCAATCACAGATGTCCCCCTCGCCCCGATGTAAGTATACTCCCCTTCCTCTCCTTCCTCTTTATTCCCATTCAGTATCTCCCATCCGTTCTCCTCCACCCATTTCAGCATTTCTGTTCCTTCTCCATTCCGCACAGTATCCTTCGACCGCCGTCATCCCTCCTCTCCCCATATCTCAACTATTACTTTTACTATTACTTATTATTACATTAAAATAAATAACAAGTTAGTGAAGTTTAAAAAAAAGTGTATCGAAAGCCATATTGATTGGGGTTTTTTAAGTAGAGTTGATGCAAATAAATAAAGCCTTTCAAAGTTACATGAAGAGCAGAAAATGCTCTTAGAAGCACGTAGCATCTACAGGTATTAGTTGGATGTGATCTTTCATAAGAGTAGAATTAACAGAATCTCAAGCAACTACTAACTTGAGCATAGAGATCGACGACACAACAGTAACAAGACAAGACATATCTCAGAGATCGTTAATGGCGAAATATTGACGAGAATGATGCCGAATGTAGGAAGTCCTGTGAATAGGAGAAGACAACTATCGGCAATCTTGTACGCTTCACCAGCATGTTGTAGAGTACTAAAATACCAACGATCTAGGGACTTATTAGTTATATTCAAAAGGAGAGTGGTATACCTATAGCATCCCCCTATAGAGTAATATCTGCAGCAGCTATGGAGATTATAGCAGAAATACCATCTATGGACCTGCTGGTAGAAGAGAGAATGGAAATATTTAGGAAAAGAATTTATAAAAAATATCTGAACAACAACTAGATGCTATAAATTGGATTACTTTTGATAAAAATATCCAAGGAAGATATATCCAGGAAGTAGGAAAAAATTAATTAAGAAATGATCAAAATAAGCTTAAATATTTTCTTTATTTACACAAAATGTAACATCATGGTCATTATTCCGCTCGTTTATGAATTATCACAAAATCTCCATCGTCTGATCATTTTCCCTTTTAATAGAGTCCATGGCCAACTCCCAAACCTAACCCATGACCAACTCCTAATCCCAAACCGAGTCCATGTCCTAATCCGACTCCATGTCCTAAACCGAGTCCATGTCCTAAACCGAGTCCATTATTGGTAGCGACAGATCCAGATGGTCCAGCAATGACAGCTCCTCCTAATCCAACGCTGATTGAACCAGAAGGAATAACTGGTTTGGCGATGATGGGGGCAGCGAGGATGGGAGCTGGGGCAATAATGGGAGCGGCGACAACTCCTGGGGCAACAGCAGCGGCGACATGACCTCCGGGAATTGGAGCAGCAGCTAAAGCCCCAGCATCAGCAGCACCAACGATTACGCTGCCATCTGGACCATGAAGGGTGGCTTGAGCAGCTGGTCCTTTAAGAAGAGCACCTGGGTTTCCAGGACCTGCTAATCCTACTCCTAATGGGAGTACTGAAGCGTAAGCGGTGGACAAAGCCAAAAAGAAAACAATAACCTAAAATTTAAAAAAAATTTGATTAAATCAGTTTTTGAATTAGTTTTTTCTTACCATGGAGTTCATTTTGGTTTGGGTTGTTAATTCCTTCACTGCTAGTTCAGGTATAATACTAAAAGCTCAACTCCCCGGAATATTTATACACTGACTTTTTCTGCCACCGACCTTCGTAATCGTCTGACGACGTATTGCATCAGAATTTTCAAGTGCTAAACGTATAAAACTTATTAGACACACATTTTACTGGTCTGCATAGTCTCTGATATAAAAAAAATAGATCAAGGAGTGTCTTATATTTTTTTAAATTGATTTATGCAACTTTTTATAAAATTTGCATGTCTGTTTAATCATTGGTGAAAGAACTCACAATATAAAAAAATTTATAGATTACATTTGTCCTATTCTAGATCATAATTGGTTAATTTCGCATGATTCAACCAAGGTCGTTTGTGAACATTTTTTTAAAGCTCCTTATCGTATTTTTTTATAAATGTGGGTTGGAAAATGATCATACCCTTTCTTAAGTCATGTTTTAGTATTAGCCACATTGGCTATTTTATTACTTTCTATAAAAAAGAAAAAAATTAATCTTTCTTGCCTTTCTCATTCAATTGTGAAAGTAAGCTTACATAGCTTTAAGCACAGTTTTAAAGTTTGTGAACTTCTGCAGTATCGAATCAAAGCTATAATCAATAATTGAGGATCAACTTTGTTTTTCAAGATAACCTTTAGTAAGCTGGGACGAGTACATTTAGCAAAAGAGGTGCACCAATGACCCTTTGAACCATAAAGTGTATTCAAAGCTAAACAAATTCGTTTGACAAGTTTGAAATGATGAGTGAAAATATCATCATGAAATCTTTTTATCTTGGCTATTTCATTTATAATCGCAATGAGGTGATTTTCTTGCTAGCACATTACAAGTACTTAACAAGTAAGTTAAAGTTTATAATAAAACGGAAAAATTAATTTAAAATAATTCTTTTATTTACACATAATGCAACATCGTGGTCATTATTTACAATTTATTCGTTCGGGAATTATCACAAAATTATATATCAGTTCATTTTCCTTTTTAATAGAGTCCATGGCCAAGTCCCAAACCTAATCCATGTCCGAAACCTAATCCCAAACCGACTCCATATCCCAAACCGACTCCATGTCCTAAACCAACTCCAAGTCCGTTATTAGTAGCAACAGACCCAGATGGTCCAGCAATGACAGCTCCTCCTAACCCAACGCTGATTGATCCAGATGGGATTACTGGTTTGGCGATGATGGGGGCAGCAATGATGGGAGCTGGGGCAATAATTGGGGCAGCAACAATTCCAGGGGTAGCAACAATTCCAGGAGCAACAGCAGCGGCTACATGACCTCCGGGGATTGGAGCAGCAGCTACAGCTCCAGCATCAGCAGCACCAACGATTACGCTTCCATCTGGGCCATGAACGGTGGCTTGAGCAGCTGGTCCTTTAACGAGAGCACCTGGATTTCCAGGACCTGCTAATCCAACTCCTAATGGGAGTACTGAAGCGTAAGCGGTGGACAAAGCCACGAAGAAAACGATGACCTAGAATAGAAAAATTAATTTATAAACGCAGTTAATAATTAATCTTCTCACCATGGAGTTCATTTTGGTTTTAGATGTTAGTTCCTTCACTGCTAGTTCAGGTATAATACTAAAAACTCAACTCCTCGGAATATTTATACACTGTCTTTTCTGCTATTGACCTTCGTAATCGTCTGACAAGGCATTGCATCAGATTGCTAAAGACATAAAACTTATTAGAGACACATATTATAGGTTTATTCCGTGTGGTACAGATATAAAAAAAGAAGGAGTGTTTTATTTTTTTTAATACAATCTGTATGTCTTTTTAAACGTTAGGCAAAAGTGGTGTACAAACAGATAGATAATGTGATTTTTAAGGTTATCTCAATAATTATTGGTGGAATCAAAAATTTTTTCAAATAATATTTGTTTAGAATTAAACCAACAATAACTTTTATTTAAAAAATTTTCCAATATTTTTGTTTGTTCGCGCTGTATATAATAGTTAAAATCATCGTTTCATTTAAATGATATAGAAAATGTGATTTTTGAGGTTATCTCAGTAATTATTGGTGGAATCAAAAACGTTTTCGAATAATATTTGTTTAGAATTAAACCAGCAATAATTTTTGTTTGAAAAAATTTTCAATATTTTTGTTAATTGGCGTTCTTTAGTAGCTAGAATCACCGTTTCATTTAAATGATATGGAAAATGTGATTTTTGAGATTATCTCAGTAATTATTGGTGGAATCAAAAACTTTTTCGAATAATGTTTGTTTAGAATTAAACCAGTAATAATTTTTGTTTGAAAAAATTTTCAATATTTTTGTTAATTGGCGTTCTTTAGTAGCTAGAATCACCGTTTCATTTAAATGATATGGAAAATGTGATTTTTGAGATTATCTCAGTAATTATTGGTGGAATCAAAAACTTTTTCGAATAATGTTTGTTTAGAATTAAACCAGTAATAATTTTTGTTTGAAAAAATTTTCAATATTTTTGTTTTTTAGCGCTGTATAATAGTTAAAATCATCGTTTCATTTAAATGATATAGAAAATGTGATTTTTGAGGTTATCTCAGTAATTATTGGTGGAATCGAAAATTTTTTCGAACAATATTTGTTTAGAATTGAACCAGTAATAATTTTTGTTTGAAAAAATTTTCAATATTTTTGTTTTTTAGCGCTGTATAATAGTTAAAATCATCGTTTCATTTAAATGATACAGAAAATGTGATTTTTGAGGTTATCTCAATAATTATTGGTGGAATCAAAAATTTTTTCGAATAATATTTGTTTAGAATTAAAGAAATAATAATTTTTGTTTGAAAAATTTTTCAATATTTTTGTTTGTTGGCGCTGTATAATAGTTAAAATCATCGTTTCATTTAAATAATGTAGAAAATGTGATTTTTGAGGTTATCTCAATAATTATTGGTAGAATTAAAAACTTTTTCAAATAACATTTGTTTAGAATTATACCAACAATAATTTTTGTTTGAAATATTTTTCAATATTTTTATTTATTGGCTCTGTATAGTAGCTAGAATCATCGTTTCATTGAAACGATATAGAAAATGTGATTTTTGAGGTTATCTTAGTAATTATTGGTGGAATCAAAATATTTTTCGAATAATATTTGTTTAGAATTAAAATAACAATAATTTTTGTTTAAAACATTTTTCAATATTTTCGTTTTTTGGCGCTGTGTAGTAGTTAGAATCATCGTTTCATTTATATGATATAGAAAATGTGATTTTTGAGGTTATCTCAGTAATTATTGGTGGAATCAAAATATTTTTCGAACAATATTTGTTTAGAATTAAAGCAACAATAACTTTTATTTGAAATTTTTTTCAATACTTTTGTTTGTTGGCTCTGTATAGTAGCTAGAATCATCGTTTCATTAAAACGATATAGAAAATGTGATTTTTGAGGTTATCTTAGTAATTATTGGTGGAATGAAAAATTTTTTCGAACAATATTTGTTTAGAATTAAAGCAACAATAACTTTTATTTCAAAAATTTTTCAATATTTTTGTTTGTTGGCTCTGTATAGTAGCTAGAATCATCGTTTCATTGAAACGATATACAAAATGTGATTTTTGAGGTTATCTTAGTAATTATTGGTGGAATCAAAAACTTTTTCGAATAATATTTGTTTAGAGTTAAACCAGTAACAATTTTTGTTTGAAAAAATGTTCAATATTTTTGTTAATTGGCGTTCTTTAGTAACTAGAATCATCGTTTCATTCAAATGGTATAGAAAATGTGATTTTTGAGGTTATCTCAGTAATTATTGGTGGAATCAAAAATTTTTTCGAACAATATTTGTTTAGAATTATACCAACAATAACTTTTATTTGAAAATTTTTTCAATATTTTTGTTTTTAGCGCTGTATAATAGTTAAAATCATCGTTTCATTTAAATCATATAGAAAATGTAATTTTTGAGGTTATCTCAATAATTATTGGTGGAATCAAAAACTTTTTCGAATAATATTTGTTTAAAATTAAACCAGTAACAATTTTTGTTTGAAAAAATTTTCAATATTTTTGTTAATTAACGTTTTTTAGTAGCTAGAATCATCGTTTCATTCAAATGGTATAGAAAATGTGACTTTTGAAGTTATCTCAATAATTATTGGTGGAATCAAAAATTTTTTCGAATAACATTTATTTAGAATTAAACCAACAATAACTTTTATTTGAAAATTTTTTCAATATTTTTATTTTTTAGCGCAATTTTTAGTTAAAATCATCATTTCATTTAAATCATATAGAAAATGTAATTTTTGAGGTTATCTCAATAATTATTGGTGGAATCAAAAATTTTTTCGAACAATATTTATTTAGAATTAAAGCAACAATAACTTTTATTTCAAAAAATTTTTCAATATTTTTGTTTGTTGGCTCTGTATAGTAGCTAGAATCATCGTTTCATTGAAACGATATAGAAAATGTGATTTTTAAGGTTATCTTAGTAATTATTGGTGGAATCAAAAACTTTTTCGAATAATATTTGTTTAGAATTAAACCAGTAACAATTTTTGGTTGAAAAAATTTTCAATATTTTTGTTAATTGACGTTTTTTAGTAGCTAGAATCATCGTTTCATTCAAATGGTATAGAAAATGTGATTTTTGAAGTTATCTCAATAATTATTGGTGGAATCAAAAATTTTTTCGAATAACATTTATTTAGAATTAAACCAACAATAACTTTTATTTGAAAATTTTTATTTCTTAGCGCTGTATAATAGTTAAAATCATCGTTTCATTTAAATCATATAGAAAATGTAATTTTTGAGGTTATCTCAATAATTATTGGTGGAATCAAAAACTTTTTCGAATAATATTTGTTTAAAATTAAACCAACAATAACTTTTATTTGAAAAATTTTTCAATATTTTTGTTTGTTGGCGCTGTATAGTAATTAGACACGTTAATTTCCCTCTGAATAGTACAAAAATTGAATGCGACTTGAGACCAAATTATTATATTTATCAAAAAATGTTTCATATAATATTTATTAAGGATCAAATCAGCAATAATTTTTATTATAATCATTTTTCAATATTTTTACTAGATAAGACTCTATACAGTTATAACAGTAATGATTTGACACCTCATTAATTATGTTAATTTCTAACCGGATATGCTTTAATTAGCTCTAATTAATGAAAATTAAAATGTAGTAACTAAAATCATACTGAATTATCGAGCGCAAAGTGCCTTTATATGTTTAATTCAATCGAGGTAAAATACAGGTGGGTGAAATATGCTAATATTTCTACTTCAATTCAATTGACATTAGATATTACTTTCATGTCTTGCGTTAATAATTATATAAAGTATAAATGCAAATAATTGATCACGTAACGAAGAAAAAAAGTTAAAAGAATAGTAATAATGGCAGTACCTGCGACCTTATTCTGTAATAAATCGAATAAAATGAGAAATGAATTGAACAAAAGAAATTTTAAACTTAGATATTGAAATCTAATTGAAGGAACAAAGGTATATCTGGTCAGGTTGTTTGTAAATGATTCATTAATTTTCTTAACAGCACCAAGGAAATGTCCATGTAAACCGATTCTGCACCCAAGATCGTAAGAAAAAAACGCATTCCGCACGTGATATTGATCCGTAACAATTATCTATTATCCTGTGTCGCAACGTGCAAGACACCAAAGGTCTCCATATATGAAAAGAAGCCGGCACAACAAACCGTAATTTAGTTGGGCGTGTGACATCCGTTCACGTTGCTGGATAATTTAAGACGACAATAAGTGTTCGATGATATTTATTATTTAATTAAAATTGATGTTTTTTTTTAAATAATAATTCCGATATAACGGAACGTGCTACCAATACAAGAGTCTTGTCATCGGCCAGATCCTACATCCTACATCATTAAGATTAATTATCTTCTGCATTAATATTGCGACATTTCAGGAATCTGTATCATAGTGTTATAAAAATTTACAATAAGAGGTGTGACAAGGTTGAGGACTGGTATAAAAACCAGGGGAGTTTTATTCTGTCAGTATCACAAGTGAGTCAACACTCTACAATGAAGTACTTTGTAAGTTATCTACGAAATTATGTGATTTTATCATCATTTTCTTCATTATTTTTTTTATAGGCAGTCTTTTTATTGGTTTTGGCCACAAGCCAAGCATCTATCATTCCAGTTGCCCATTACGTCCAACCTGTTAGTGCGATTACTAAAGGTGCTTCGTTTAGTTCGGCTTCAGCAGGATCGGATGGTGCATCTGCTTCTTTCGTCGAAGGTGCCACCATTGCTAAAATTGGAAATCATGCAGCTTTAGTTTCCCCAGGAATTGCAGCCCATGCTGTAGCTCCAGCAATTGCCCCTGCTTTTGTAGCTCCTGGTCCAGCTGTTCTTGCTGCACCAGCTGTTGTTGCTGCAGCCCCAGCCGTTGTAGCTGCAGGACCTACTGTGGTTTCTCATGGAACCGGAGCTATTATTGCTGGACCTTCTGGTACTGTTGCCACAAGCAATGGTTTGGGACTTGGTGTAGCGCCAGTTGTTGCTGCAGCACCCGCTGTAGCATCCGCAGTCATTGCCCCAGCAGTAGCCAAAGCTGCTGTTGTTGTAGGCGGACATGGACATTTATATTAAATTAATGGATTTTTGTTAAAAGTGTTGATTAAAGTTTATAGGTTTATTTATGAATTCGCTTTTTGCTTCTTCTATTTTGTTTTAATTTTTTTTTTATTTACCTCAATTTTCTTTTGCAAAATAAAAGAGTTATTGATACTAACATCGATTTTTATTAATAATAAATTTAAATTTCCCGGATTTATTAAAACATTTAAGTTTAACTCTAGAGATGTCGCTACTAGAGAATGTTTTATTTGGTAACTTAACCTCAATAACTTCAAACAGTAACTATTTCGCTATTTTTTTAATAATTTTTAAAGAATATGAAGAATCCTGAGATAAATCAGTTTAATTTAAACTCAGGTTTATTAGCTAAACATAAATCGACCATCTACAGCAATGCTACATTGCATAAAATTGAAGTAAGCAAATTTGAACATAACCTATAAATAAAATTGTGTTTTAATACATTTTAGGTAGAAAAGTCTATGAATTTAGAACGAAACACCGTTTTAAGGACTCTAATGAACTTTGCGAGTTATTGATATTAACATTGATTTTTATTAACAATAAATTTAAATTTAAAATCATTTAAATTTAACTCTAGAGATGTCGCCACCATAGAGAATGTTTTATTTAGTAACTTAACCTCAATATCTTCAAACAATAACTATTTCGCTATTTTTTTAATAATTTTTAAAGAATATGAAGAATCCTGAGATAAATCAGTTTAATTTAAACTCAGGTTTATTAGCTAAACATAAATCGACCATCTACAGCAATGCTACATTGCATAAAATTGAAGTAAGCAAATTTGAACATAACCTATAAATAAAAATTGTGTTTTAATACATTTTAGGTAGAAAAGTCTATGAATTTAGAACGAAACACCGTTTTAAGGACTCTAATGAACTTTGCGAGTTATTGATAGTAACATTGGTTTTTATTAACAATAAATTTAAATTTAAAATCATTTAAATTTAACTCTAGAGATGTCGCCACCATAGAGAATGTTTTATTTAGTAACTTAACCTCAATATCTTCAAACAATAACTATTTCGCTATTTTTTTAATAATTTTTAAAGAATATGAAGAATCCTGAGATAAATCAGTTTAATTTAAACTCAGGTTTATTAGCTAAACATAAATCGACCATCTACAGCAATGCTACATTGCATAAAATTGAAGTAAGCAAATTTGAACATAACCTATAAATAAAAATTGTGTTTTAATACATTNATTATCTGAAAAGTTTTTTTAGAATAAAAAATATGCCACAATTGAAATTGGCGGTATTTGATATTAGTATGGAATCAAGCATTTGGTGGCGCTAGTGCTGAGCGACAAAAATTCAACGCTAATGTCACATCTATACATTATCTATGTTGGTAACTTAACCTCAATAACTTCAAACTAACTATTTCGCTATTTTTAATAATTTTCGAATAATATGAAGAATCCTGAGATAAATCAGTTTAATTTAAACTCCGGATTATTAGCTAAACATAAATCGACCATCTACAGTAATGCTACATGGCACAAAATTGAAGTAAGCAATAATTTGAACATAACCTATAAATAAAAATTGTATTTTGATACATTTTAGGTAGAAAACGCTATGAATTTAGAGCGAGACACCGTTTTAAGGACTCTAATGAACTTTGTACATCCTCTTGACTTTATTCCTGTTTGCTATGAAACTAAAGGATCATGCGTTAGTTTCCTCCTAAAGAATTGTGGAGCTGCTATCGAAAGACTTTGTAGGCACAACTTGATAGTTACGAACCCACAAGATGCTTCAATGCCTGTAATTAATGTTAATTTTTCTTTATATATAGATTTTTTTTAATAATTTTTATAATTTTAGTTTAAAATTAAAATTATATTAAAATTTGCTTACGCCGCTGATTTAAAAATTAATATTCAAAACAATATAATTTCTGTTTTGAATAAACGATACCATGCAGAATCAAGTGTGTTAAATTTGGAGATGTTTTATAAAGATCCTGGTAAGACTCAAATCGTTAATTTAGCTTTAATTAAACTTATTGTTTATAATTTTTTAGATCTTATTGAATTTTGTACACTTTCCCAACCGAAACTAATGTTTTATGTGCTCCATTTAAGTCGAAGTGAAAATCGACCAAAACATCCCAAATCAATAAAACTCTCGAATAATGAAATTGAAATTTTAAAACCTTTAGAGGCTCTTTTCGGTCTTAAATCTTTAACATCTCTAGATTTGCGAAATAATAGAATCAAAGAAATTGATGCAAGTTACTTTAAGGATTTAAACATCACCGAATTATGGCTTGATGGGAATCCAATTTGTGATGATTACGACGAATACTCTTATCCAAGAGCAATTAGGGAGATGATCCCTACTTTAGAAAAATTAGATGGAGTTTTTATTAAGAATAAAGGGGTGTTGCCTTTTCGAAGAAACTTTTTGTGTTCATCTTCAGGTCATGATTTAGTCGATCAATTCATGGAGCATTATTTTAATTTATATGATACAACAAATAGAAATTATTTAGATGGTGTTTATCATAAAGAAGCTATGTTTTCTATGTCTGCTCATTATTTAGGTTTACAAAGTACATCTTTGACTGCAAAGTAATAATTTTTGTTGTGATATACGAAATGTTTTAATTATTTTTTGTTCATTTTAGGTTATCACCATATAAAAAAGTGACTCGAAACTTAAAAATGATGTCAGATTTTTCAAAAAATGATGAATGCTTATTTAGAGGTCGTGATTCCATCGTGAGATTAATAACGCAACTTCCTTTAACAGAACATGATCCAAATACTTTTACTGTTGATTTGATGTCTTACACTGTAAGGAATTTAATGTTTTTGTTGAAATAAAAAAAAATGAAGGATTTTTTTGATAGGAAACTGCTGCTGTTTTGGTTATAGCTGGCGTTTTTCGTGAAGTACCCCAAAATTTGCTTGATGCAGATCGAATTTTGGGATTCTCAAGAGTTTTTGTGTTACTTGCAGGTGTAAATGATGAATATTCAATAGTTAACGAACAATTACATGTTTATAACGCAACATCCGCTCAAGTTATCCGCTCATTTAAGCAACCTAAAATCTCTAGACCTTCTCATATCCAAATTCCTCCGCCAAAAAATATTAAAGAACAAGTTATGTTGGCTGAAGCACTTGTGAGTCTTACCGGTCTTGATATAGAATGGGCTACAAAGTTTGTATTTTTATTAACCAATTTTTTAGTCATTAAAATTAATTTCAATTTTAGGTGTTTAGAAGAATGCCAATTTGATTTTAAAAGAAGTTTAGAATTATTCGTGGATTTATTTAAATTGGATAAAATCCCAGCAAACGCTTTTAGGTAAATAAAAAAATAAGTAAAATTATTTTAAAAATTAATATACAAATACATGTTTTTTAAACTTAATTGATTTTTTTCTCATCCTTTTCTCTCCTCCTAGGAATATATCAGTACAACCTAAGAATCCACAACCACTGGCAGAAAATCCTTTGCAATCATTCACCACCCCCTTACCAAATAACATAAACGAATTTTCTAATACTTTTAAGAAAAAAGAACTCAATCGTAAACAACGTGTAAGTTTGGTTAATATCACGTTAAAGAATTAATATTATCCTAATTTCTAATGTTAATTAAATCCTTTTTTTTTCATACAGGGTCTTTTATGTTTTGTTCAATGTTTATTTATTTATTTATTATATTTAGGGTGCAAATGGGGCAAGCCCAGCGAAGCATTCACCAATGGAAAATGATAATAAATAACAAAAAAGACAAACTTAATTAAAAAAAAACTAACTACCAATAATAAGCAACTAAATTGTAGCAATAAGCAACCAACTAGACGCCATACGCAATACTCACTGCCAAGGTAGTTTATGCATCATTTATTTAAAAGAAACCAAGGAGGCAGTCGGAGGCAGTGAACATGTCTAAACGGGAAAAAGAGCGATTCAAAGTGAATATAAGACGAGGAATCGCGGAGTTTGAAAACGCATTTGTATTAATGCGTGGTACAGAAAATAAAGACAAGTCGCGAGATGTTCGAACAGGAATTTTAAATTGTAACTCAGATAAGGGCCAGGTAACCGTGGCGATGAATCGGTCAGAAGTCAGTGGTTCTCCCACGAGATCCTACTACTACCATTCAAAACAAGAATAATAAATTTTTTTTTAAGGTTAATTTGCCACAACGGTATTATTCCTTAATATTACGGCCTTCCAAAGATCCATAAACGAGATTTTCCCTTGGGATCTATTATTTCTTTCGTTGGCTCACCCACGTATGAATCGCCTAATTTTGTGGCTCGTATTCTGACTGAAGAATTTAGAGCGAGAACTTCGTATAACATTAAACACACTTTCACCTTTGTTGAAGAAATGAAAAGGAGAACCTTACCTCATAATTTTGTGTTAATATCTTTGGATGTTGTCTCTTTGTTTACTAGTATTCCCTTATCATTAGTAAAACAAATCATAACTGATAAATGGGATACCCAAATCGACAGAGACCTTTTCATTGAGATAATAGCCTTCCTTTTTGAATTTTCTATTTTTTCCTTTGATGGAAAGATTTATAGTCACATGGTAGTCCCTTGAGACCCATCCTCGCCACTATTGTAATGGATTATTTGTTAAATCAATGTATCCCTTCACTTGATTTTATTTTTCCTTTCATTTTTAAGTATGTTGATGACATCATTGCTCAGTTCCGTCCGATTCTGTTGACGCTGTAATCAGAGTTTTCAATAGCTTTGATCAACACCTTCAGTTCACTGTAGAGACAGAGGTTGGGTCATCAATCCCCTTTCTTGATACCAGGGTTATAAGTGAACCCAACCAAAACATCATTTTGAATTGGTACACTAACCCCACTTACTCTGGGAGATACATTAACCCATTTAGTCCCACTGGTGTAAAAACGCACCAGCATTTTTAAAATTATTTTACAGCCATACATTTCCAAATTTAAAGATGTTAGCTGTTTGTACGATAACAGTATAAGGTTGTTAGGCTATACATATCAAAATATTTCATGATTCTTGCTATTTAAACCATATTTACATCAATTCTTTTCTATTGAACATTTCTGTTCAAAATATACAATAAAAATAAAACTATTTTTAGTGCATAAAATTCTTCAAAATTTTTTCATTTGCAAATTTTTAGTGCATACTTTCCTCATATATATCTTGAAACGCGAAATAAAAATATGGATTCTGAAAATACGACTTGAAACATGAATGGTGCAAAAACGCACCATTGGGACGATGTATGAAGAGATATAAGGATTGTATCATCTTTCGTATTACTTGAAACCAGTTTAGACGCGTCTGTTAGGTGAATTTCCGAACGAATTTAGTTTATGGAATACGGGAAAATCAAAATTAGGCTTGGGTGGTGAAGTAGTTATGCAATTACGGAAAAATTAAGGAAAGGGGTTTTTTGATACAGCTTATGATACCTGTTCAAAAATTTCTTTAGTACGATGGAATGATAACTCCGTTGTCACTGTAATTACTAACCATTTGAATGTGGAGCCAATACAATCAATTAAGAGGTACAACAGAAAGAAAAAAAAGAAACACTAGTTAATCAACCTTATGCGGTATCAGAATATAATAAATTCATGGGTGGTGTAGATTTACACGATAACGGAATAGCCAACTATAGAACAAGAGTATTAGGAAAGAAGTGGTGGTGGCCACTATTTATTAATTCATTGGATAGTGTCATAATAAACGCGTGGAAATTATACAATACTGTCAATAATACTAAAATGGCACAGTTGGATTTTAAATCACATATTGCAGTTCGGCTAATGAAATATGAAAACGCAACACCTAATACTGAACGAAACACGAGGTCAAACAGAGAATTTGAATCTTCCAATGACCATTTAATAAAGAATCACGACTCTAAAGCTTGTAGAAGATGTAAAATATGCCATAAACATACTATACATATCTGTAGTAAGTGTAATGTTCATTTACATGTAGAGTGTTTTACGGACTATCACAATAAATCGTTATACTGTTAATCCCATTAGTGCGTTTTTGCACCAATTTTAGTTTAAATATTTTTTATATTAAACTTTATACTAAAGTTGGTATTTGTTAGTATAATGTTGTATTAGTATTATTATTTATTTACGACTAATTTATTACTTAGTTAATAAATGATAATCAAAATTTTTGTGTGCTGTTGTTCACTTATCTTACCAGTGGTGCATTTTTGCACCATCTCATATCTCAAAAACAATTTTTTGTTTCAAACACCTGTGTACATTTTTATACTCTTCATTCCATCTTATCTTAAGGAAAAGTATAAAAAATCAATTTTTTTAAACATAAAGCAGCTTGGGACTAAATGGGTTAATTCCAACCATTCTATTAATCAAAAAATCAATGTTGTCGTCGCAATGTGTAACAGAGTAGAGCTGATCTCTCATGAACCTTAAAGAAAACCTAAAAAGGCTTCATAATATTTTCTCAAACAACGGTTATCCTCATGGTCTCTTGCTTGGTATAACCAATCAAAACAATAATTTTCATTCATCTACTATTAATCTCAATAAGACAGAGACACTTAACGGTTCTCAAGAGAACCTCTCAAGTGTTACTAATTTTAGATATATAAAGATCCCCTTCGTTCCTAACTTAACACCTCAGTTGATGTCTGTTCTAAAAACTGACTCTATAAAATTTGCAAAATTCAATGGTAGATCTCTTGTTTGTTTTCGAATACTAAGGATCCTGTTCCTCTTCTAGCCCAGTCTCACCTAATTTACAGAATACCTTGTAATAATTGCAATGGTGCATATATCGGTACCACTATACAGTATCTTTCGAATAGAATTAACCAACATAAAAGGGTTTGCGTAGCTGGAAATGAGAGAATTCTTGTCCGGTATTAAAAACCGGTATTGATAACAAAATACCGGTATTTCGGTATTATTTTTATTTAGCGCCCTCGATGGCCGATGTCTTCGAAAACGGCCGTGCTAGTTTGAAGTTGTGCTGGAAAATGACGTAGAGGATTCGTGTTTGTTATCTATTTTCTGTCCGTTCTAAGTTTACATTTTCAAGTGACATTTTTTGACGTTTCATTAAAAAAAAAGGAACCCAAAACCAACCAATGAAAAACGCCCGGGTTGGTAAACCGGGCCGGAAAAAGAAGGTGAACAAACAAAAAATTGGTAACCAACCTAAGGCCCGAATAAACCCAATTTTTCAAAGGAAATTATTTGATCATTGTGAATACCATCTACAAGAAAAATCATTTTGCACTCTGACAGAATGTTGAAGATAACGAAGACTCAACCTTTGATGACGACAACTTAATGTTTGTTTTCAATAAATTTGTCATACCTAGCCAACAATAAAATACTCTCTGCATACAACTATTTTTGGAGTATTTACTCCATCATGGTGTTTCAGGTCAATTTGATTCGTACTCCCACCAAGTCTAACAGTAGTATGATAAGTCTGAGAAACTACCAAGAGCCGTTATGTTAAAGTTTCTTTCTTGAATCTGCACCTTTCCAGAAAATTCCAAAGCAGGAATTCGAAAGAATTTCACAGAGCTTCAAATGATGAAGTGTAATTTCATTTTTTGACGCGGCAGTGAAGTTGAACCTTTGGACCAAGTGAAAGACAACAAAACAATAATGGTATCCAGACCTTTAAGTTTATTGCTACTTTGTACAGATTCCTAATATCTTTCCATTTTTTGATTATCTTCTCAGACTCTGTATCTTATGCTTTGTTGCCAATCTAAAAATATAGGGGATAATATTTTTATCGATTTAACCTTTTGTGTTTTGTATTTTTGAAAATTGTTGTGCAGCGCCTCTGTTGAATGACTGAGTGTAATTGTTCAAATCAAATTTTTGCAGGTTCTGGTTCTCAACGTTTTACTTAGTTGTAACATTTAACTTCTTTAAAGTCACAGCCATTTTGGTTTATAAAGATTTTAACATTTTCTGTTTTACTTTGGAGTTAGAGATTAAGTTAAAGTTGGTTCATTGTTAAATAAATCCGTTTTTGACGCTTTTGAATCTGTTGCTTGAGCTGATTAAATCGTTTTCCATTTGTAAGTAGATTAGTTTATTTTTAGATCAATTATATTTTGTTGTTGATTGTTGCCTACCTCTCTGCTTTTTTCAGGAACTAATTTTCCTCAACTCTATATCAACTCTATCTTCAGCACGAATAATAAATAATCCCTAGGTTTGATATAATTTGGCATTTTTCCAAGTTTTATTAACATCCATATTTAAAATTAAACATAACGTGTTGATTTATTGTTTAAAAATGATTAACCGATAAATAACGTGGTGGTTTATCGATTGAATTTGAAATGATAAAACAACAAATCACAGTTTGTTAATTCGAAATTCGATTAAA